CATTGAAATCAACCAAGTATAGATTCTAATATCTAAAGCCTTTGAAGATCAAGTTAGAGCCATCTACACTTATGATCTCTACATCATCTACTCCAAATATGCACTTAAATCCAAGATCACACAACTAAGCCATGGACAGCAAATTGAAGTTCAAGCTCTCTACTAGCAACACATTGGAAATGCTCATGTCATTGGATATTGCAATCTTACCAAGCCCTTTGACATTTCCTTTGCCATTGTCACCAAATGTGACATTATCATAACCATTTCTATCATTGGTGGTTGATTGAGTTGCACATTCTTGCATCACCGGTCATGTGTTGAGTGCACCCACTATCAAGAACCCAATGCCTTCCTCTGGCTTTATAATTGACCTACAAAAGAAGATTAATTCTTTTTAGGTACTCAAACTTGCTTGGGTCCTTGAAGGCTAGTTACTAAGCTTTTTGGCACCCAAATAGCTTTCTTCTTTGAGCCCACAATTAGTGTACGAACAAACTTAGCCTTCACACCATTGGCACCCTTAGTGAGCAAATAACAAGAATCAAATTGAATTAAGGATACATTAGAGTCCTTGTTCTTGTTCTTGCAATAGTGCTCTATATGCCTAACTTGCTTGCATCTATTACAAAACCGACCATTGTTCTTCACAAAACTAGTCTTGTGAGGAGCTAAAGTCGCCTTGCCTTTCTTGGGGTATAGCCCAATCCCTCTTTGTTGAGAGAAAATCTTTGGCTACCCAAGCATTTTAGCAAGCGGGCCTCACCACCATAGGCATTGCCTAAGGCACGAGTGAGCTCATTGACCTCCTTCTTTAAGGTCTCAATCTCAACCATAAGTGAGACATCACAAGTGAAACCATCACTCATAGGTGAAGTGGAAGTGGACGACGAACTACATGAAGGGTTAGAGGGAGCAACAACAATAGGCTTATAAAAAGATTCATCAATTATATCACATGTTAAGCCTTTGTCACATGTTATAACATACTCCTTCTCATTTTGCTCATCAAGTAGAGAGGAATGAGCCTTTTCAAGCTTCTTGTGAGCCTTGCCAAGCTTCTCATGGGCTTTTTCTAGCCTCTCATGAGATGCATTGAGCTCATCAAAGACTTGCTTAAGGGCTTTTAGTTTCTTACGCAAGTGTTTGCATTCCCTTCTCTTAATGTCAAAATATTCTTTAGCATCTTCTAACATGTCAATTAGTTCATCTTTAGTGGGTTTATCAAATTGGGGTGGCTTCTTGGTGTTGTTGATTTGAGCCATTTTGACACCGAAGGTTGTTAAGCATCAAATCACGATGACCACGGCTCTGATACCACTTGAAAGGTCCAAATGGCTAAAGAGGGGTGAATAGCCTATAAAAATTTCTACAACAACACTAAACAAAGTGGTTAGACAAATATGAGACGAAGCAATTCTTGCGCTAGCCTACTAAAAATGCAAGCCACCTACCACAATTCAAGTTACTATAGTCTCTAAGCACACAAAGCTAGGCCACTACCACTAAGTTAGTGAGCTCTCAAAGACTAACTAAAGAGCCTCACTAACCACTAGACAAGACACAAGCTAGCTCTCAAAACTAACTACACTGAAGAGCTTAGCTACACTAGGAATGTAAATACAAGAGTGAGGTAGTGAAGATATACCACCGTGGCAAGAGACAATCAATCAATCACAATCAATACCAATAAAATCCTTGGAGACAAGATGACACAATAATTTTTCACCGAGGTTCACTTGCTTGTCGGTAAACTAGTCCCCGTTGTGGCGATTCACTCACTTGGAGGTTCACACGCTAATAGGCATCACACGCCTAACCCGTAATCGGGTGCCACACAACCAACACAAGATGAGGATCCACAAGCCACGAGCAATCCACTAGAGTACCTTTTGGTTCTCCGTCGGGAAAGGTCAAGAACCCCTCACAATCACCACGATCGGAGCCGAAGACAATCACCTTCCTCCGCTCGACGATCCTCGTTGCACCAAGCCGTCTAGGTGGCGGCAACCACCAACAGAAAACAAGCGAAATCCATAGCAAAACACAATCACCAAGTGCCTCTAGATGCAATCACTCAAGCAATGCACTTAGATTCACTCCCAATCTCACAAAGATGAAGAATCAATAATGGAGATGAGAGGGAGGGCTTTGGCTTAGCTCACTAGGTTGCTATGTCAATGAAATGGCCAAGAGAGTGAGCAAGAGCCGACCACACGACTTAAATAGGGAGCCCCTTTGAAAAGAGCCGTCCGTCGATCAGTTTGACCGGACGTGCGACGCCAAGCGTCCGATCCCTTGATTCTCGCCACGTGTCCCTCAGTTTAACCGGTGCCGTTCATCGCCAACGGCTAGTTATCCACGCGCGCGTCACTTAAGTGATGATCGAACACACGGCCGAGACGACCAGATGCGCCGATGCCACGTTAGACCAGGCGCGCGGCAACACCCAACGATCGAACACGCTGCTCCCCGTGACAACCCAGCGTCAGATCATTTCTAGTAAGCAGCCAGAGAGGGAAATTTACAATCGGACGCGTTCGAACGTGCCTGACCAGACGCACCCCAGCGTCCGATCCTCTCTGGCTCAACTCCAGCGTGCCAAGCTCGCTTGCGTCAGTGTTGACCGGACGTAGGCCCTGCGCGTCCAGTCCACTTCTCCTTTAGCGTCTGGTCTCATACCGAGACCGAGCCCTTCACTGCTATAAATGACCGGACGCGCCCCTCCGAGTCCGTTCACTCCGGAACCAGAGTTCGGTCAGTGAAAACAACGCCTCCTGTTCTCCAACTTCGCCACCCTTGATCAAATGTGCTAACCACCAAGTGTTTCACCTTGTGCACGTGTGTTATCATATTTTTACAAGCATTTTTAAGGGTGTTAGCACTCACTAGAATCTAAATGCATATGCAATGAGTTAGAGCATCTAATGGCACTTTAATAATCGCATTTCAATACGAGTTTCACCCCTCTTAATAGTACGGCTATCTATTCTAAATGTGATCATATCCACTAGGTGTCTTGATCATCAAAACAAAATGGCCCTATCAAAATCACCTTTGCCTTGAGCCCATTTTGTTTTTCTCTTTCTCCTTTTCGAAGCCCCAGCACTTGATCACCATGGCCATCACCACCATCATGATGTTCTCCATTTGCTCCATCACTTGAAATGTGCTACCCTATCTCATGACTACTTAGAGTAAAGGATTAGCACTTAGGGTTTCATCAATTCACCAAAATCAAACTAGAGCTTTCAACGGTGATGTTTGCCTCAACACAAGCGGGTCACACTCTAATACGACGGAATAAGGATCTGATCATGGATAGATCATAAGCCATGCGGCGGTGTTAGTGCATACCCACATGCGCGGGTCGTGTTCCAATGCAACGGAAGTAAGGACCTCATCACGGACGGATAAGCCAATACAGTGATGTAGTGTACACCCCAGTCGGTCTCAGATACTGACGGTGATGGCTATAAGTATCACTGCTGACAGCTTACTGTCGAGACCAAAATTGGACTACGATGTGGGTTACGACGTGGCTGTGAAAGGTGCGAGTGTAGTAGTGAAATTGCTCTAGTGATCTTGTAGAGTTTTTAATAGGTTATTCACACACCCCTCTAGTCATATGAGGACCTTTCCGACATGCAGCCACTACCGCCGGGCCGCTGCCTCCGGTGAACACCACACAACGATGAGCCTCCATTCTGCCCAGCAGCAAGGATGTTGCGTTAAAAGCGTATGTTGCAAGAGTATGTTTCAATTGTTTCAGATATTGCAAGCCCTTGTTCCAAATGTTTCATTTGCTTTTTTAGACGTACGTTGCAAGTGTACTTATTTGGATGTTGTATATGTTTCACGCATATGTTGCAAGAGTATGTTTGAAATGTTTCAGTTGTTTCAGTCTTATGTTGCAATAAGTGTTTTCATGTTGCAATTGTTTTATCTGGATGTTGCATATGTTTCATACACATGTTGCAAGTGTATGTTTCAAATATTTCATATGCTTTAAACGTATGTTGCATTCAAGTGTTTCATGTTGCAAGTATTTTGTGTTTAAGAGGTATGTTTAGAGAGTCATGGAGGCACGACCCGGGCGCCGACGAATAGGGGAGCGGTGCGCCTGGTCCTGCGGACAGGGTGTGCTCATCCTCATCCCAGCTCCTAATAGGTCCCGCTGCGAGGAGAAAGAGGGGTCAGGGGAAGGAGCGACAGACGCAGGGCGAGGCGAGACAGACGGGGGCAAGGTACGCATGCGTGGTGGGACAAGGCAAACATGGAAGGACTACAACAATATGATGGGAGTGCAACATGTTTCTGCTATGTCGGACGATATCACCCGATGGAATCTTATCCCATCGAACGTCTAGGCGCCAGCCATTCCCTTGAATTAATCCTTCTTATTCTTAGCATGCATTGATGAACTACAAGAATTGAATTAATTCTTCTTATTCTTTATATAGCATTTATTTATATATGCTCCTCTGCGTTGTTATGTCAATTATAATGTAATAATTAGCTTAAACTTTTAGTTATTTCAATGAAACATGATATTAGTATGGGACAATTGCTCCAAATTTTAACTATTTATATTAATGCTATTAGAACTTAGCATCCGCATCCATAATCCACTACGAAGCCATTATCCTGCTACTTATTGGGAACCATATTGCAATATAGAAAATGAAGAAAACCTATCCTCCTCAGCTTATTTCATATACACAAACGGGTTGGTCATGCAGACGTGAAATCGTCGTCTCTGCTGCACGGCAAACATGCACATCAAAATTACACGCACCGCAGGGCCCAGGCCATCCGCTGCAGACCATCCACACCAGACAAGCACTCTTTACACATCATAAATACCCGCAGGAAAGAAAAAGGAAACAAAGAAAAGAAGAGAGACACACTCGTGGCCCGGAGCTACTTTCCATGGGTTGATAACTCTTGGCTGCTTCTAGGGATGGTATACTGTCAATCCGTGATCGATGCGTTGCACACTAAGAGCATCCCAAACATTTACTTAGTGGACCTAAGAATTCCAGGAAGCCCGATGACTGCGGCAGACTCTGTTCCTCAGTTTTTGAAGGCAGGTGTCTAAGGAATGCCCTAACAGCACCTGTCACCCCGTCTTCAGATTCCATGGCTTTCGCCAGCTCTACAGCCTTGTCTTTCACCTGAAATTACATGGGGGATTACTTAAGCACTTATTTGTAGTGACATAAGAATACAGTAACCTGGCCCCATGCGAATAGATACAGCTTTTTAGCGTATAAAAAATACAAAATTTTGCCATACATTCTTCAATTGAAGAAATTATTTTCTGTCCTGAAATTGAATAGAAACTAAGCTATGCAAAACGCATGTCACTACTAGTTTTGTGGGCAGTATGAGTCAAGTTGTCAGCATGAAAACTATGCTACCTGTGCAAACTGACGACAAGACTTATATACTACACATTATTCATAATATCTGATTGCGTAGGACATCTATTTCTGCATGTGTGTTATCTATCTCCTCAGTATTATGGAAGGGGAAACACAGTAACATCAAGAAAATAATTTATGCTCTCTGCCCACAAATTGCTTAACTTACCTCTGGTTTCATCATGAACTTTATAGCATCGACCAACTTCTGCAAACCAAACTGGTCAACTGGAATAGGCAGAGGCCCTAGCCCTCTTGCATGCACCCGATCGCCCCAGAAAGGTTGGTCACCAAAGAAAGGTACAATAGTCGTAGGACACTGCAAATCATAGACTAACGTGAACAACTAAATTAAGTACAACTGTACAAGAAACCTCCGAGAATACTAGGGTGCAGAAACAGCAAGAAAGGTATTTTAGACATATGTTTGATTCCATCAAAATGCAAACGTGTCAAAGTGTCACATATAGGCTGAAAAGCAAGTAAGCAAATCGTGGTTTAATTCTTTGGTTGCAATGGTGGGCATTGGATGGTAGAAGCATAGGAACCGCTGTATATATGAGGGTGCTTCACCTAATTTCAGCAACATCATGCAGTACATTGGAGATGAGCCATGTAGCTACGGCCATGATTCTTGTTTTCGTTGGCAGGTCTTCATGCAATCAACATCTCTATTGGGCTTGTGGTTTGTATGAGTTACTCCTTTTCTTCTTAATATAATGATCGGCAACTCTCTAGCGTCTTCGAAAAAAAAAACTATTTTACATTGAAATAAGGCATGGAGAGAGCACTTACCGCTGCTTTAAGACCTGCGGCTGTCGTTCCAGCACCACCATGATGCACCTATGGAGGCAGGAGATGAAAGAATAAAGCATAAAACCTTAACTCCAGTCTTAAGTAGCATAAATTCACCCACAAAGTATTTAATGTAAACTTGTAGTCACTATAATTAGTTTTTTTTTGTAAAGACCAGATACCATGCTAAAAGAGAGATCTTCCAAAAGTTTAAAGCAGTGACTTACCACTGCTTTGCATTGCAGAAAAAGCCAGTCATGAGGGCAGTTGTCTAGTAGATATACAAAATCTTTTGGTTCTTCCACTGCCAAAAATTTCTGGAGTCGTCAGAACAGAATCAGAACATATGCCCAGGAAACAAAAAACAGAACAAACCAAGGAGAGGAACTTACAGGTTCCAAGGCCACCCCAGCCTTTGTTAATGATACCTCTCTGTCCAGTAATTTCCAGTGCTTTGACAATGATTTCAGTCATCTTTTGTGGGTCTTGAACTGGCTAGTAGATGAGAAGAAAAAACAAGTCAGAATCCCAAAAAAGTTGTTGAGGGGAAAGCTGTGATGGCTTTGCCTTCATAGCACTCTACAATCTCAGAAGATATTGACAGAGGGCACATAACCCTATCACTATTTTCAATCATCCAAGTTTGTAGCATACACCATATGCACTGCTTATAGAAGACATAATCAGGCGACACATAATTATACATAAAAACATTCATATGCAGTGGCAGTTAATATGCAATCAAATTTTCCATAGTGATAGGATCAGAACACAGTTTGGAAAGAACAAAGTACTACAATCTGAAGGTTTCATGCAACTTAAGTATTTGATGAGGAACGAATTACAGAATCATGGCATGCTAGCTGGTGAAGGCCGTTGATGGGTGGCAGTAAGACAAACTAAAGCATTTGCAAAAATTGAAAACTGCCTCAGGCTGCATACTAGTGACTAGTCTAGTAGCTATCAAAATTGGCTGTGTTTGAACTCAGCAATTTTGGGACAATTCTTCTAGATAAATTGAGCTTAATTTTTTTTCCTCGAATACGCATGAGAATTGAGCTTAAAATTTGAAGTGAATACTTCTGTTGCAAAAGGATTCAATGATCTTTGTAAAAAAATCATACTAGTGACATTCACATACGAATATGGCACACAAATTCTACAAGATTACAACACTGTAAATGACAAACTATACTGTTTTCGCTTATCATAACTAGTGAACATAGCATTTAAGAAGCTGATTTATATGCAGTAAAACAGCTAAGAGTACTTATGGGGTACAGTGACTGTAAGTGGCATTAGGATAATTTATACAAGATCTCATATGCATGTAAAGCCTATTTAGTCACAAAGTTTGAAGTACAAACTACATACACAAGTGAAAGTCAACAAAAATTGCAAGCATACCTAGAATACTTTAATACAACATATTAAACTATACAGTCGATTTGATCAAATGACAAAAAAGCTTATATGAAAACATAAAGCAAGGTCAAACTGATCTTACAAGGCTTCCAAAACCAACATATATGGGCTTGTCACCAGCTTCAAGCCATTTCACAAGTGGTTCAGGAGGTACGTAATTGGAAGCAAGATCAAGGAAGCAAAATCCAACAACATCAATCTTTGGGCCCCAATCTGCACTCCAATACATGAACATTATAATGAATCACTGGCCCATTGAAGACTAAAAAAACAATACTTAAGTTGAGAGAGAGGGGGGCTTTGGCAGTCTCAGGGTGCTTTGGCAGTAAGCTACTATTAGTCTATTACACTAGTGCATCATTTCTCCATCAAATTTAACTACGTACGAAAGGTCCTCACAAATACAAATAAACAAGGAGTTTCCATGTTATACTTCAAATGATAATTCCAAGAAATTTTAGACTCCTGCAAACTACAGGCAATTATGATGTTATTAACCTACTAGTTAGGCAGTCATAACTGATGCCGACTTTCGTATAATAAGTCAGAATGCTCTAATAGCTAAGTTACTCAAAAACTCAAATACATTTCCTCTCTAGTAATATATACAGTATACAGTTAACTTTTTCACCTATATGCACAATTTGTCAATGCAAGTTCCTTTTCCTTTCAACCCACTGGCGCATGTTTTTACTTTCCAGAAACCCTGACTCTCCTGTTACAATGTTCTTGATTCATTGCTGCTATGATCTTTCAGGAGGGAACATAGGCCTAAAGAGTGGCAGAAAGATGAACAATTCTCACAAGCACCAGCATTAGGAAGATGCCAGCCTAAGCCAAGGAGGTGGGCATGTAACATGGAGGTGGGGAAGAAGGGACTTCTAATTTCTTTCTTAAACAGCATTGACATGTCTCTTATAGTCTTATTAAATGAGCCAACAGCCAAGCCTAATATGCAAGCCTAACAAGAGAAGTTTGGAACCAGCAAAAGATATCCTAATACAGAAACATACTTCCTGACTCATTTAGGCTAAACCAAGATGGAAGTCCCTTGGTGATAAAATTACTATCAATTTGAGCCACTGCTTGACATAAAGATGCAGTCCCTTGGCTGCATCTGGCTGCGCACCACTTTATGGTGCTGTGGGGTCCCGCCATTGAGCTTGGCACCAACTATAACATCTCCATGACACGAAATCTATCCTATCTACAAACAGTGCTGCTGATAGTTCAATCTAAAGAAAAATGCATTTGTAACAGTGGCTGACTTACATCACTGTGCATACATGAATAACTTAACGATTTGGACAAATGACAAATGGATCCTTGCAGGATATTCAAGATGATCCCAACCTATGGTGTATGCAGTGCCAAAGGCCTTAGCGACATGTGATCCAAATAATCTTGTTGCTTGTGTTCATTGGTCGTTGTCTTTTTAGTTCCTAGTGTGCTTTATGTAAATAGAGCAGCCAAGGTGGGTGCTGATCTAATAGATTAATAACTTCCACCAGAAAAAATGAACGAAAAGAAATCAAAGGTCGAGATTCAGACCCACATGCTTTGGAATTAATATGGGAAAAGAATGACAAGGTAAATTGCATCACTTTCAGCTCTAGCCAATAGATATGTCAAACCTTTTGGTTTTGGGACTAGATGAGGACTCCAAATGTATCCATGAGGAATGTCATTGCCAGAACCCTGAGAACCACTTAGATATGTTACTGGACGCAGCTTCAGCTTTTTCTTTCTGAACTCATTTATCATATCCCTTATTCCAAGCCAAATCATCGAGTCCACAATTTGATATGAAAGCTGCAAAAGGACAAATAATTATACAGGCAATCAGATATTGTCATCAAGAACATCCAATCAAGTATTCACACCAACTGATAAAAGCTGACGTTCCGACAGCCCAACATGACTTGCCGGTAGTGCAAACCATCAAAAACGCCAACTATTTTCGACCTGAGGTAGTATATATGTTCAAGAAAATGCCTTTGCCTAGTGAGGTTGGGATTGCTTCTGGTTGCAGAGGCTGAAGAGCAAAGCTAATAACTTCATGCACTTCAGCAACTCACGTGATGCACAAAGCATCTTGACATGACAACATGAAATTCAGGAAGTTTGTCCCGGCAGTCTCCAAACATCCACAATAATTCAAATAAACAAGTTCTGCATAATGTACAATGTACTTGTTGTGGACTCGTTCATTGGGCAGCAGTATAATAGGATGAAGAAGGATGTGGCTGCCTCTAGTGGCTAGAGCCTGGTCAATTGGATCAGCTAGCTGTGTCCTCAGCCGCTCATGTGGGTGTGCGGCTGCCTCTAGTGCTAGTGCATGGTCTATTAGCTAATAATAGTAGGAAGTGTCCTCAGCCACGCATGTGGGTAATATAACCACTAGTGTGGCCGGGATTAGAGGCAGGCAGAAGTAGAGTTAGCAGATCAGAGCCTCCCAGGGAGGGCAATCCTCTCTACTACCGCTGTTCTAGTAATTCAGCCATTGTAATCACCTTCCAGTCATCAATAGAGTTCCCAGATTCCTAGTCATATCATCTGGTATCAGAGACCTCTCGATCCTCTCGCCTGCCATGGGTGACGATCTCAAGTCCACTCTAGACGCCATCCTCGCCAAACTCTCCTCCATCGAGAACGAGGAGACGACGATCAAGGGCGACCAGAGCCGCCTCAACGTGGCCGTTAACCGGCTGCTGTCGGACCACCTCTCCTCCGGCGGCTCCCATAGCGGCAAGGACACTGGCCATGGCTCCCCTCCACCTCCGCCTCCACGCGAGCACGGCAAGCACAAACTCCGGTTTCCGCGCTACAACGGCAGCGCTGATCCGGTGACCTGGCTACACAAGGCGGAGCACTTCTTCCATGCCGATCGAACGGCGGACGACAAGCGGGTGTGGCTCGCCTCCTTCTACATGGAAGGCGCTGCCCAGGACTGGTACTACCGCCTGGAGCAGAACCACGGCGCTCCCACGTGGCCGGACTTCGTCGACAAAGTGCAGCGGGCGTTCGGGACACCGGCATCATCGCCTTCTTCCCCACCAGCGACAGCTCAGTCTGCTATGCCAGGAGCCGCCACATCTTCCACGCCGGCAGCATCGCCAACAGCTTCACCTCCACTGACAATTGCGGCTACACCAACCACTTCCCCGCCACCTCCACCAATGGCTGTAGCCGCACTGACAACGTCGCCACCGCCTCCACCATCAGCGCCATCCCCACCTGTGATTACTCCTCCGGTCACCTTTGTGCCAGCCATGGTGAAGGAGAAGCACCAGGCAATTGCATGTCCAGCGTTGATGTCCGCTCAACTGATGCAGATGCAGGCATCCTGCTTGATCCTGGCCACCTCTCTCCATCGGCAGCCCTCCTCTCTTCCCTGTGTGGCGTGTACCTGCAGCCATCCAGCGGGGAGAAGGCATGGGCTCACTGGCAGGCTGCTGAGGTATTGTCTCTTCGTATTGTCATCCCATTTGCAGCATGCGCCATGGGATTCAGGTGGTTGTCCACGTGCAACTTATGCGTCTGGCTGGTGTCCACCGCCAATTGAAGAGGCAACAACAAATAAACCAAGACACATTGCTCAGGCTCGTCTCAACCATGGAATGGTCGAGGAGTACAAGGCGCAGTTCCTGCCCATGCTCGCACGTTGTAGACCACTCCAGGAGCAGGACAAAATCGACATCTTCACCGCCGGTCTCCGCAACCCACTGCAGACGGATGTCGAGCTCCAACACCCTGCTACCCTCGACGACGCCATGGGCCTTGCGCGGGCCTTCGAGCACCGCTTGGACCTGGATGACGACGTGGACCTTTCCGTGTCCCCCACCAGCCCCACCCAAGGCCGCTCCCCCTGCGGGCGCGCGCTTCAAGCGACTGACAGCAATGGAGATGGCGCAACGCCGTGCGGACGGCCTCTGCTTCAACTGCCCAGAGAAGTTCACGTAGGACCACAACTGCACGAAGAAGGGCCTCTACCTAATGGAGCTCGACGACGCCGTGGCAGACGAGCCCGCCTCCGACGCCAACGTCGTGATCTCCCTCCATGCCCTCATAGGCATCAAGACGGCCGACACCATGCACCTGGCCGCCTCCATCGCAGGCGCATCCGTCCGGGCTCTTGTGGACCCTGGGTCCACCCACTCCTTCATCGCCGCGAAAACCGCACGCCGCCTCGGCCTCCAGTCCGCGCCGCGTCCCGGCCTCACCGTGGGCGTCGCCAACGGGGAGCACGTCCCGTCCGCCGGGGTCTGCGCCAACATCCCTGTCACCATCGGCACCGAGGAGTTCCTCATCGACTTCTTCGTCCTACCCCTCCCCGACTACGAGCTCATGCTGGGCTGCCACTGGCTCCAGTCCCTAGGCCCCATCCTCTGGGACCTCAACCGCCAGACCATGGCGTTATGGCGCCAGGATCACCGCGTTCGCTGGACCGGCGTCACGACCACCAGGGCCCCTGCTCTCCACGCCATCAAATGCCTGGACCTCTTTCAAGTGCTCCTGGCTGAGTTTGGCGATATCTTCGACACGCCGTCATCGCTGCCTCCGGTTCGTGCCTGCGAGCCGTTTGAGGTGGTTTATGGCCGACCTCCGACCTGGGCTTCATACCAGCCCGACCTCTCCAGGGTGGCTGCCTAGGACAAGCAGCTGACAAACAGGGATGAGTTCCTGGCTGCTGTCCAGGAACGGCTCCTTCAAGCTCAAAGCATCATGACGCCGCTCGCCGAGATGTCTCCTTCAGTGTGGATGACTCTGGGTGTGGCTCCGTCTACACCAGCGCGCTGCGGCAGCCATCAAGAGCAGCCAGGATGCCAAGCTTGCACTCCGCTACTACGGCCCCTTCAAGGTGACCGAGTGCATTGGCTCAGTTGCTTATCGCCTCCAACTTCCAAACAAGGCGCGCATCCACAATGTTTTCCATGTGGTGTTCCTGAAGAAGTACCACGGCACTGCACCGACGGACATTGTTCCACTGCCCACGGTCGCCCACGGCCACGCTGTCCCGGAGCCCGGACACATTGTTCGCGCACGCCTGAACCATGGTGTGTGGGAGGTTCTGGTGCACTGGCTCGGCCAGAGTTCCTCTGATTCCACCAGGGAGCTGCCCAAATGACTTCAAGGCCACCTACCCCAAGTTCCAGCTCGAGGACGAGCTGTTTCGAAAGGAGGGTGGAAGTGTTGTGGACGCTCTTGTTGGAAAGCACTATACTAAGAAGAAGAAGAAGGCGTCAGCTGCCTCTAGTAGCTAGAATTAGTCCAAGCTAGCTAATAATAGAACATGCAGGAATAATAGGAATACCACAGCCGCTCATGTGGGTGTTATAACCACAGGTGCGGCTGGGGATTAGGATCAAGCAGCAGTAGAGTATTGATGATCAGAGCCTCGCAGGGAGGGCGATCAGGCTCTGCTGCTGCCATTGTTCTAGGACTAGCCATTGTGATCTTCCCAGTTCATCAATAAGAACTCCCCAGATTACTAACCATAACAGTACTTATGCATGAGAAGCAAAACAGCACATGGAGAGAACTGCAATGTTACTGTAACAAGATCATGGATATATAGAAACTAAATCATTCTGGATATCACTGTTAGACGGATACTTTGTCTGGGCCCTTTTAGGCTCACGGGATTTGTATTGTGCCCAGCCTTGAGCCCGTGCACTCTTTATAGCTTGGTTGTCTTTCTTGTTAGGCAAGGATATCTGACAGTGATCGTACTTCTATAAACCTCCCAAGGTCATCCTTGCCCATATGTGTCTGTAATCTACAGCCCATAATCAATCTACTAATCTCAGATATTGCATGCCAAGATATTTCAGTTATACATTCATTCCTCACCATTTCCTAAAGTGATCAATTTTAATGGAATTTGCATGATGATAAACCATTGAAGTGATTGTTATGTTTATTCTCCCCATAAATTCTCCAATATAGGAAGGGCCAGATCTTGGGAACTGAGAGAACGTCAAGTAATTGTAACATCCTAAAATTTGCACTCTTTTAAATAGCTAAATTGATTTATTTACGCAATTATGTGTGCATACAAATGTAGGAAAACAATTATTTTATAAAACTAAAATCAAATATAATATTAGCTACAAGTGATGCATACATGCTGCTGCATATCATTTGGTGAATGTTTGGAATTTATTAAAGATTTCAAAAAGAATTGAAATTTGAATTTAAAAATGGATTTGGAAAAGTGTAGAAAAAGAAAAAAAGAAAAGAATCATTTTCTCCCTCCCTTCTTGAATTTCGGCCCGCAGGCTTTCTCTCCTCACTCGCCATTGACTTTCCCATGCCCAGCACACAAATTACCGCCCCTTCACACAATGGCTGCTTGTGATCAGCCCGCTGCCCCCAAATTTCAAATGAACGGCTTCGGCCGCATGACCGCCGCCGCCCTCCTTCCCATAAGAACGCCGACCGCTCGGCCCACTGTCATGTCCTCCTCCCTCACAGCAGCTTTCGAACACCAGCGCGCCCAGCCTTCTTGCAGAATCGCCGGCCACGACAGCGTCGTCGTGGGAGCGTCCCCTCGCTCCTCGGCCTCGATTTAAAGGAGCCGAGCCCCCCCCCTGTCGCGCGCTCCTCTCTCTCTCCCCACTCCGTTTCTCACTCACGCCACGCCACGGAGGTCGCAATCGCCAGCCGCGGAAGAGCTCCGCCCACCACCGCCTCACCGTCCGCCGCCGCCTTCCCGAGCCGAATCCGTCACCGAAGTTCCCATTGTGAGCCTCCCTTGCTCTCCTCTTTCTCCCCGGCCCTTTTCTTTGGCGTTAGATGGTTCCTAGCGCCGTAGCCGCGAGCTCCGAATGCTCTTGGTCGCCGGCCATGGCGGCCACCGCGCTAGCCCCCGTTTCCGGCCGCCACAACGGCATGGCCGTGATCCCCCCTTCTTTCCCCGAGCTCACGGGTGCCCTCGGTGGTCAATTTGGTGAACCGTAGGTCTAATCCGCTGCCACGATCGAGTCCTTCAGCGCCATGCCATGGGCGCTGGTCACGGTGTTCTTTGTTCCGACACCGCCGACCCCCAAAGTCCGATCCTAGCCGCCCATCGCGAGATCAACGGCCAGAATAGAAGATACCCTTCGCGGTGATTTTGCATAAGAGCCCTGACTTTTCTAAGTCTTAACCCGCAGCCCAAAACGTATTTCCTCGAATGCGCAATCTCGATTAGAAAGCGTAAACTCCACGGCTTAAGTCAAAAGTGCACGCTTTCAAAGATTTACTGAAATGCCATTTGAACTGCTTTCGCTTATAAAATTGTCGTTTAGCTCGAATTGATCCATTCAAATCGCGTTAGCTTCGTAATTTCATAAGCTACATGTTGAGCCTCTCATAGTCAAGTTTGGAACTTTTTAAATTCATGATTAGATTTAACTAAATATAGGGCTATAGGAAAACCCGTTTTAATCATAACTTTAGCATTTTAGCTCCGTTTTTTTCGTGAACTTCGCGTTGACGTGATCGTAGGCGAAAACGTAGATTAGTTTTACGAGGCATTTTATCTTGATTTCAATCTTTGTTGGTGTCTTGTTCTAATGATAGGAATGTTTGCTTTGCATGAATGCTTTTGGAATGTTGTATGTTGCCGTGTTGGTCGCGTTAGACGGTGAGAGAAAACGTTGGAGACCAAGAACTCTTCGACGACTAGTAGGACCAAAGACGAGTTTGTAAACCAAGGCAAGTATAACATGGGCCTTCCTTGATGTCCTATCTCACTTTAATCAATTACTCATTTGCATGTGTCTAATTTTGATACCCGTAAGGACATCCTAGTGATTGTTTATCCTGCTCCTTGTCTCCTATGGGTTAAATGCATATGGGTAGATTGCTAGTGCTCTAACCGAACTTGATATACTGTTGATGAATGATACTATGGAACAAAGTGAGTAACATGATTTATAACAACTGCTCCATAGGGCGAAAGTGCAAATGACCTTTGTTCATGTTGCTCCGGCCCTCCATAAGGACTTATCTCACATTCAAAAAAAGTTGGGACCGATAAAGGCAACCGGGAGAGTCATATGGCTCGACTTTAGCTCAATAATAGGATCTTTCCTAACTAGTTAGAGGTTACCTTTTTGGCGCAAATGGGGCTTGCCACGTTGGGTATAAAATTTGCCTCTGTTCCTATGAGTATAGCCGCGATGGATATGTGCCATAGGAAAGGGGGGTTCCTACATCTCGCCGCCAAGGAAACCTAGCGGCCCTAACTTGTTAGGGAAACCTATGAAATGGCTTCATAGTGTACCCCGCCTACTCACCTTGGAAGTGACATGGGAGTAATTAACTTTGGGCATATGGGGATCACGACTCATGGTGAATGTGCACCACCTCTGCAGAGGGTAACAAATCATTATAACAATAGTGCTCACGATTCTGAGCGGCGGAAAAAACTCACGAAATAACTGGATACTTGATTATGATCTTATAAAGTTGTTTAATGATGATATATGGTACACATGACTCTGATATATGTTCTTATGGGAATTAAATGGGAGCTTAAGCATAACTTGATAATACTTGAGAATAAAAGCTTGACCTATTAAAAATGCTAACTGCAGTAAACCAGAGTCTATCCTTTTTGAGCTTCATAACCCCATGTTATCTTGCTAAGTATGGAATGTACTTACACTTGTTTATTTTCTTTACTTGGATAAAAATCCCGGATGGGTAACAGATGACAACGGGTATGAGGATTTCCCGGAGGATTATTAGGCTTGTGGTCAACCAGTTGACCTTCCCTGTGATGACGGCCACGAGAGTTTTATTATTCCGCTGTGATGTATAAGACTAAGTTTTATTATAACTCTGATGTATGAAACACCGTGATGATACTTTATGTAATTTGTCAGCTTGTGTGTGTGATTGATTTCCTGGGCACACACGAGTTTTGTGCATTCAATTTTATCCTTAAAATTGGGTGTGACAGTAATAATTCACTCTTTTTCATAAACCATACAAGTAAAACAATGTAGACTTACTCGATATCCAGCAGGCTGCTTCACACGAGAAAGAGGATGAGGAAATTCACTAGTTGGCCTGAATAAATAGTACAAAGTTAGATCCCCAGATGATAGTATTCCATAGCTAACTTGTGATCTTTAAAGAAAAAGCAAGATGATAGAGACTCACGTCCATGGCATGGTAAAGAATATATGAATTGGTACTTTTAGCGCTTCTGCCACATGTGTATGTCCTGAAGAACATTTGAGGTCAGAAAGATAATGTAATATAGGTCTTCATCACAAGAAAAAAATATGCAGGAAGGCTTGTGGCGAAAAATGCAACATTGATTATATTGGAATCTGTTTGGACTATCCAGATATACTTCAAGTTCAAAAGATTTTGCTTGAAGTACTTTGGAGCAACTTATTGCCTCGAAGACACTCAGGCTTGGACTGAACAACTAAGCAAGTAAAAAAAACTAGACAAAGAAGGCCTGCTCATAAAAAGGTACCATGGCCTGGGGTAAATAGTGGAGGCTATTAAATTTAATGGTTTTTAAAGAAAACATGAAAAATTCCTAAGTAATTATGCACGGAAACATTTAACTAAGGAAGATTTCGTGAACACAAATACTCGAATACATGTAAAAGCTCTAGGAAAACATATCTTCATGTAAATTACTTAACATTCATTAAATCAGTCAGCATACTCACAGCTATGGTCAACATTTATATTCATTCAACACTAAATATTCAATGGTTTATTAAGCAAAGCATGATGAATAAGCATAAATTATACTCCTCTAGAGTAAGGAGTGAATATTTGCGTTGATCACAATTAACGGTACTAACATATTTCGGCCAAATAGGTGGTGCTTAGCGGAGCTAAAGCATCATTAATGGCAATTGTGAAATAATTGACAATATTGTAGTGATAAAACCTTGGAAAAACTACAGTAGGCTATTTACAACAATGTTGGGGATTGTCTCTAGAGATACAAATACAATGGGAAAAAAATCTAAGCAAGTTGCAAAGAACCTTTTTTCTCAAAATGAACAAGATATACTGACCATACGCAGGTGGGTTCGCAATAATTGCATCAACTTTAAAAGGAATGCCAGTGTCAGGATCAGGTTCCTTGCATGCAGGCAGCAAAGAAAAAATAATTTCTTTCATCTGTTTTCTTTGAATAGGAATTTCTGATGGTCCCGAAGGTAGGAATCCTTTATTCTTCACCATGTCTGCTCAAATTATGAACATATCAAACACATTTATCTTCAAATAACGTAAAAAAAACTTGAAAAATACTTTTAAAAAACATACATTCAGCAAGAATTTTGGGATCTCCACCAAGCGGGTAAAACTCCAGGCCAGCTGTTAGTACAAACTCCTTAAAGTTGGCATGAGTAGCCAATCTCACACGGTGCCCGTAGTCCTGCAACAAGGATCAGAAACAACAAATATGCTGGCATCTCAGCTACAAGAAGCACAAACCTAACCTGAATTTACAAGAGAGCTGGATTGATAATACACTTAGGCTAGGACTAACCTGTAAGCGTTTCCCTATAGCAACAAATGGCTGCACATCTCCTCGTGTACCCACAATAAGTATAACTATTTGCATAGGAGGCCTGTATGGTATCTCTGTTCCATCTGATGCTTCTTCAACAGCAGCTTCAGTATAAATATCGTCAGTTCCACCAACTATAGTTGGTTCCAGACCACTTGGCACATCGACAACCACGGTTCCATCATCTTTTACTGTAGCAATCCGATTTAGCATTTTGAGCTGCAATAAAGTGGAACAAAGGTAAAGTAGCAAAAAGATCAAGAATAAATATGCAAGCTATCATACTGGTCCTTATCAGTCATCTTTCCAACTAGGAAACCTTGTAACTTTTTTCAGAGTATATTGCAATATATTGTAACGTTTCCTCATCAGTTCCAAATCGGCAATGCATGAATTTTAAAATATACTGGTAATTCAGAGAAAGTCAGACTTTGGACACTATTATACATTAGTTAGTGCAACTATCAATGATTCAATTCCCAGTCCACAAACAGATATGTATTTCAGATGCCTGCATGGCAAAACAAAAGGAACTAAGCTTTTGAAAATAAATAGGTAGATACAGAGTGTAAGATAAATGCACCTTCTTTTTTATTGGAATCCTTTCATCAAGTAACTGTTTAGCAGGATCATCAGCTGGATTATTTTGCCGACGACGCTCAGTTCTGGACCTTTCCAAATTTGATGGTCCAGCAGTTTCATTGGTAATTTCATCATTCTTAATCACCCCCGGCATGGTGCTTGATCTATGGAAGCCTCTGTCATCTACTTAGAAAAGAAAAGATGGAGTCATGTCAAAAAACTGCAGCCAGAAACTATGTAGACCTAATACTTCAGTCCCATCTCAAAAGGAAATATAGAGAAGGAAATGTGGGTTGTGTTTGCACAGCATATGATTGTGCAGAATCTGCCTACTGGAGCAGCTAGTGAAAAAGTACACTCCGATTATTTTCGAGGAAAACTGCAGCCAAAAACTATGTAAACCTAACCGTTACCACTTCAGTCCTAACTCAAAAGGAAATATGGAGAAGGAAATGTAGGCTGTGTTTGCACAGCATATGATTGTGCAGAATCAGCCTACGGGAGAAGCTGGTGAAAAGGCACACTCCAATTATTCTGCTTAGTTAGTTCACCCTAAGATTATGCTTACTAATAAGCAAATGGAGGATGCTGTTGTTTAGCACAGTTCTACCTAATCTGTGGAGAAGCTAAGAAATAAGCTGTGCCAAACCGAGCCATTGTATTCTATTTTGAGTGAGCAATTAGGTTAATAATAGCCCTCAGAAACATATGTATTTAATAGAAATGGCCAGAGAACAGAGACAATGAAAAATCAAAACTATTCAAATACAGAAAATACTAAAAATTAAATATTGCGTGTCTAACAACATGGCACTCATAAACATAATGTCCAGGCAACCGATTTCATTTCGACAAGCTATGAGCTTATCCAACAACCTTAAAAGACTAGCACGGCAAATGGCTCATTTATGTGTCGGGCATGTTTCAGCAAGCAATTGAACTGCAAACAAGTGCAAGCAAAACAATATGATCCTAGATCGTGTGACTAACAGAGACACAATCAAAGATGCTAGTAGAATGAAGTGCAAACCTGTCTGCCAATGTATATCATATTTGAATAGTATAAAGTCCAGTTCAGCCAACAGATTACCTTATGTCCTAGAAATAGGAGTTCGAGCACAAGTCTAAACAGCCGAGGAGTTTGGTTCCTAAGTAGGTCCATGAAACCACGGTCCCAAAACGAAGAAACTCCAGCAGCACAAACACACACAGGAAACTATTGACTGACAAACCAGAACCATTCAGTGAGATCAATACAGATGTGCCATGTGCCAACACCTAAAATTAGCATCCAATAAAAAGACTGGAGACACAATTGACACCCCTTCGAAATAGGAATGCCTGCCTAGCACACAACTTCATCGAATCAGTGACACGGCTAGCACCAAAACTAGGCAAACCTCAGCTCCTGAGCACCGAGTTCACTCCATCCTGAAACACGCGCACAACAAAACCTCTCCCCACGCCATAGGGCATAGCTGTCGATTCCTGGCTCGCCTTCTCCTATCCTACCAATCCACGATTCACGGCCAGACGACGTGCTGTGTTGTGCTCGAAAAACACCCCCTGGACGACGAGGACCAACCGTTACACCAGAACCCCGATCAGATCATCAGATTGAAGATGAGCTGCCCAAAAACGAGCACGGATCTAAACAGGCGGTTGCCAATCCGAGGAGACGGAGACACGCTGGGGCGGCGGGAACCAAACCCCCGACCCCAGCCGACACAAGTAGGCAGCAGCAGCGAAACCCAAACCCCACCCCCACGAGGCAGGACAGCGGAGGATGCGGAAGATCACCTGCGGAGGACGACGACGGCACGGCGAGGGGGCTATCCCCCGAGCGGTCCCCGTTGGGAGCAGAGGCTGCCGGCGCTTCTTCTCCTCCTCCTCCTCTCCCTCCCGCGACGCCGCTGCCGCTCTCCTCGCCCGCCGCCATTTATACACCGACCGGCCCGCGGACGGACGCCGCGTCGGCTGCTTCTGGAGAACCGCTGCGATGCCTCCGGATCCACGCCTCCGCCTCCTCCGTGAATATGCTTGGTTGGCTTTGCTTGCTCGTTCCGGCGGCGGGGGCGGGCCTCTCGCTTTTGGTGGGGGGTAGACGGGGAAGGAATTGGAATTCGCTGGCCATGCACCGGGGAGCGGCGGAAAGCGGAGCGAAGAGATGCGATGCCTCTGCGGCTCTTGCCTCGCTGGCGCTCGGCGTCGCGCTGGGCGCTGCTTGTGCTTGTCTGCCGCTTCGCTGTGATTTTCTTTTTCCGTTTTTTAATTTATTATATTAACACAATAAAAAAGTTTTCCGTTTTATATAAAAACATAAAAAGTATAATCCGTAACGGCCGTATCCTTTTCGGCGTCCCTGGCGGCGATTCATTGCGCTTGTTTGGCAGAGCAGGAAGCGGAAGCAGTGGCGGTGGCGGCTTCGCGTTCTCGCCTTGCCCAGATTCGTAGGTGGTTGCGATGGATGAAAAGCATTTTTTTCAGTTTTTTTTTAAAAAAAAAAATCTATTTAAAGAGGGTCAACAAGAAAAGTTACATTTTTTAAAACAAAAAAATATTACACGCTCATGTGAATAGAGACGTGTGCCTTTTATGCCTCCAGTGAGCTTCTAGTGTGCATAGGAACAACATGTGTGCCCTTGTGGATTTGGTTGGATCAAATACTCTTTCTATCTCAAGGCCGTATTAGGATTTGCAAAGTCAAACTCTTATTGATCTTTTGCAAACAATTATTTAAATTATATATACTTACAAGTCATCGCAACCACAAATTCACATTCCACACTTTATTTTTGCTATAAATTGATTTTTTACTAATTGATTGATGTTCAAAATTTTCATCTAAATACTCTAAATCTTAGAATGCATCATGTAAGGGAACACAGGAAAGGGATATGTATGTAGAGGCAAAATAGATGAATGAAAAAAAATACAAGAACATGATAGAAACATATGTTTGCAACGCAGGAATCCATATCCCAGGAATAAAAACATTACAGAAATGATGAAACATCCTTAGTATTTAGTGATGTATTAATTCAAGACATTTATAGTTATAGAAGCATTTTATCACAAGTAACATATTCCGCATGGGATGCTCGTGGCCGTAGGCCTACAAGGTCAAGGCCTCAAGCCTCAACTTGCAAAGTTCGACAAAGCAGTCTTGCTCACCTTTACCTGCTGCTTGCACGCTAACGGCACAATTAAGGGTTGTTGAGGAGAGCTCTACCACTAAAAACTGGAATCTAGATATGCAAATCCGCCATGGTGTGGCTCCACCATGGTTCTGTACCCCAACTCTTGAGCTAGACAAACTGTTTGGCTTGTAGAGTAGCTCTAGATCCGTGTAATTGAGGTTTTGATGGGTTTAACCATGGTCCTCAGGTTGCATGATAATTTTTTTAAGTATAACATACGTTACTCTCATAATGATTTCAAAGTAATGATGTAGTGTCCTAATGACTAAAGGGGTAAATAGTCTATAAAATTTCTACAACAACACTTAAGTCATGACAATTATGAAGCGAAGCGAGTGTTGCGCTAGCCTACTCAAAATGCAAGCCTCATATCCACAATTCTAGTTATCTATGATCTCTATGTCACACAAGAGGCTAAGACACTACCACTAACTTAGTGAGCTCTCAAAAACTAACTAAAGATCCTCACTAACCAATAGATAAGACACAAGTTAGCTCTCAAAACTAATTACACTAAAGAGCTTAGTTACACTGGGAATGTAAATGCACAAGAGAGGTAGGAGGGTTATACCGCCATGGCAAGTGATCAATCACAATATATCAATAAATACCAATGAAATCATCGGACACAAGATGATACAATGATTTTTCACAGAGATTCACTCGCTTGTCGGCAAACTAGTCCCCGTTATGACGATTCACTCACTGAAAGGTCCTAATGGCTAGAGAGGGTGAATAGCCTATTAAAAATTTATATAACAACACTAAGCCAAGTAGTTAAATAAATATGAGGCGAAACGAATATTGCACTAGCCTACTAAAAATACAAACCACCTACTAACACTTCTAGTTGCTATTGTCTCTATGTCACACACAAAGCTAGATCACTTCCACTAAATTAGTGAGCTCTCAAAGACTAACTAAATAGCCTCACTAGCCACTAGACAAAGACACAAGCCCGAGGTGCTCTTCCTTTCAACCTTGCATCCTACATAATCCGAGTCGGAGTAACCAACTAGCTCAAACTTTGCTCCTTTGGGATACCACAAACCGACATTTGGTGTATGCTTCAAGTACCTCAATATTCTCTTTGTAGCCTTCAAATGACTTTCTCTTGGTGGGGCTTGAAATCTTGCACACATGCATACACTAAACATGACATCTGGTCTTGATGCGGTCACATAGAGTAAGCTTCCAATCATAGACCGATACAACTTTTGATCCAACATATTTCCACTTGCATCACTATCCAAGTTGCCATTGGTTTCCATTGGTGTGCTAATGACTTTGCTATCACTTATGCCAAACTTCTTAATCATGTCCTTGATATCCTTGACTCACAAATGTACCATTCTTCAATTGCTTGATTTGAAGACTAAAGAAGTAACTTAACTCTCCAATCATGGACATCTCAAACTCATTAACCATCATCTTTCCAAACTCATCATAATAGTCTTGATTGGTTGATCCAAATATAATGTCATTAACATAGATTTGCAATACAAAAAGATCTTTTCCAATCTTCTTGATGAAAAGAGTTGTGTCAACCTTGCCCATCATGAACCCTTTAGAGAGTAGGAAGTCCCTCAATCTCTCATACCATGCTCTAGGTGCTTGCTTCAATCCATACAATGCCTTCTTTAACTTGTATACATGGTTGGGCTTCTTGTCATCTTCAAAACCGGGAGGTTACTCAACATATACTTCTTCATTGATATATCCATTGAGAAATGCACTCTTAACATCCATTTGATAGAGCTTGATGTTGTGGGCACAAACATAGACTAGCAAGATTCTAATTGCTTCCAATCTAGCAACGGGGGCATATGTTTCTCCAAAGTCAAGACCCTCAACTTGTGTATAGCCTTGTGCTACCAATCTTGCTTTGTTCCTTACTACTATCCCATCTTGATCTTGCTTGTTTCTAAAGACCCATTTGGTTCCAATTACATTG